GGTCTTCAAGGTTGGTCTTCAAGGTGCCTTTGTCCAACTGAGAACAGTCACACAAGTCTTCAGTTTCTGCAAAACCTTCTCTTGGGCAGGCGGCTAAATGAACCCTGACCTAAACAAAGGCAGTTGTCAGTGGATGGAGGCTTTCTAGAGTCATTCTACAGGTAACACTCCATCCCACCTGTTCTCTTACTGCCTAAAAGAGCTTCTTGCTTTCTCGATCTGCACATGCTTACATAGATGAAACTGAATTACTTAAATGATTGCTCCAATGTGGCTGTTCCTCAAGCAAGCGTCTTACTCTGTACGGTGGTCTCAAGACCGCAATAATAAACTAACTAAAAAAAAGCAAGTTTAGGATTTCCTGTTCAGGGCAGACACCCAGGGACAAAAACTGACAGGGTAAATCCTGCCCACCAGCCATAAACAGGCACAAACTCTTGCTACGACGATTTGACACTCCCCCCCCCATCAATATCATGAAACGAATCACAAATGGAGTTATGTGAACTAAAACAGCAAGGTTAGAAGCAGCCTTCAATTAAATCATTGCTCTTGATCTTATAAACAACTTTCTCTCCCAGGTGGGTAGCCACATTGTTCTGAAGCAACAGAACAAACTTTGAGTCCAGTGGTACCTTTGAGACCAACAAAGCTTAATTCTGGGCATAAGCTTCTGTGTACATGCGCACCTCAAGTGCGCATGCACACGGAAGCTTATACCCAGGTCTTAAAGGTGCCACTGGACTCAAAGGTCTCAATCTCTCTCTCTCTCTCTCTGGCACACACTTTTATTTGAAGAAAACCTACCTGTAAACAATACTGCAACATCCGGCAAGGCCCAATCGCAACCCTCAGGCCCTCCAAGGCCCCCATGACCGCCTGAATGACGTGAGGCGACGTCTCAAACACGTTGGGCCACACGTAATTTAACAAGTGATTCAGCGAGTCTTCGCAGCCGAAGCCGTACACCCCAAGGGACATGTGCTGTACCACTGCGCTGGCCGTCTGCCTGTGAACGAGGTCCCTGGGAAGAAAGAAAAAGGGGGGCAGGGATATTTAACCGCTTGGCCCTGTTCCATTTACTTCCCCTGGTCCCAACGATGTGCACGTACAGTATCTCGGAGACAGGTTCAGGAGGATAACCATATTGGTCTGAAGCGAGAGAACAACGTTTGAGACCAGTGCCGTCTTGATGACCAACGAATTTTAATTCTGGGTATAAGCTTTCATGCACACGAAAGCTGATACCCAGGATTAGACTTCGTTGGTCTTAAAAGATGCCACTGGACTCAGGCTTTGTACTAGTATCATGGAGGCTTGTCATCCTGATACGATCCTTGTCCAATCACTACTGCCGCGCCTGCCTCCTGTTTCCTTCCATCATGTTAATGTACACCAAAATAAATATGGTCAGTCCATAGACATGCAAAAATAAATCCACAAGAACTGTGCACAGTGCGCTCAATATTTCTTTAACAAAAATCGTGAAATTATGAATATGAAAGTACAAAAGTAATAATAATACATTCAAGTTATAGATTCAGGTACATAAAGATAGAAGGTGACAACAACGGGACGGTAGTCTCCGGAATGCAGTGCCGTTTCGACAGACGTCTTCTTCTAACCAATAGTTTGATAATGTATGAAAAATTGCACTTCAATGGAAAAGCTGCCCAATTCACATGGAGTATGATAACAGTTTCACCTATTACCTTGCACAAATAATAGAGGAGAACATCTCTCAGACAGATTAAAGTTTTATGTACCTGAATCTATAACTTGAATGTATTATTACTTTTGTACTTTCATATTCATAACGTCACGGTGCACTGTGCACAGTTCTTGTGGATTTATTTTTGCATTTCCTTCCACCATGTGCCATTGATTGAGTCAGTTCAGTAAGACGGCGCGCTATGTTTCTGAGACAGCTATAGCTCGCTGGTCTGTATAACACTCAAGAAATAAACCAATTTCAAAATCCGCAGCACGTGTACACAGCAAGCGCTTATGCTTGCTCAGGGGTGGGAGTGTAGTTCACCTTGGATGGCAACCCTTTGGAGTACCATGCCAGAGGCGCCCTGATCTCGGGGAAGGGGGCACAGAGCTGCTACTGAAAAGGGTCCTGTGGGAGAGCTTAAAAGTCCCTGCACATTGTCACGAATCTGGTGAACCGAGCCATCGTGTATATCTGAAGTGTGCTTCCATTTCTATCAAAAACGTTTGGTTCCCCGTTGACTACATTTTGTTGCTGATGGAAGACACTTGGCTGGTGGGGAAAAAGCTCTTTCCTGGCCAATTCCACCCTCCCACATTGACACCCCCACACACCTCCCGTCGTTCCCAAGTGTCTGACACCTGGGGCACGATTCCAGGGGATGCCGCTGCCAAAGCGGAAGGCGGGAAAGTCTGACTTGGCAGGCAATGCTTCACCTCACTGCAGCTAACTTAACTGCTCTAAAAAGCCACACAAAATTAAAGAGCAAAACAGGTTTAGACAAAAGAAACAGTACATATCCTCAAGCTCACCACCACAGCCACTTCTGGCCCCGCTGGTGGTCCCTGGGGTTTGGCCCCTGTGTGACACAGAGTGTTGGACACGATGGGCCACTGACCTGATTCAACATGGCTTCTCTTATGTTTGTTTATCTGTGGCAGTGATGCTGTGTATTCTTGGTGCCGGGGGTGGTGGTGGTGCGAGGGCTTCTGGAGGTCTGGCCCCGCTGGTGGATGGCCTGATCCAACATGGCTTCTCTTATGTCTGAGGCAGTGATGCTCTGTCTTCTTGGTGTTTGGGGGGCGCCAATTACAAAGAAAAGTTCAAAACCTTTATTTTATTTTGCCGTTAAGTCGCAACTGACTTACAGCAGCCTAGTACGATTTTCAAGTTAACAGCTGTGCCAGAGGTGGCTTTTGCCACTGCCTGCCTCCGCATAGCGACCCTGGACTTCCCTGGTGGCCTCTCCTCCAAACGCTACCCGGGGCCATCCCCAGAGAAACTCAAAAGGCACCACAGCTTGTGAGATACTGAAAAGGGACTGACCTGTCCATTAAAGCGTCTTCGAGCAAGGGGGTGACGGCGTAGATGTAGTCCTTCCCCATTTCCCCGATATACTCAAAGAGGAAGGAAAGAGATTTCAGAACGCCGTTCTGAACATTCAGCTCGGGGACTCGATATTCGTTCATGAGGGCGGGCAGGACGGTGAAGGGAGAGCAGGTTTCGGCCACAATGGCGATGGCGACCGTTGTGCACACCCGGTTCTGCCTCTCTTGAACTTTCAAATTATTCAGCAGTGTCGCCAGCACATCGTGGGGTCTAGAGCACAGGAAAGCACAACACTTTATTAACAACAACAACAACAACACTACCTTTCGATTTATTGATCGCTCAATCTGGCAGAGCTGCTGACTCTGAGCGATTTACAGTTACACGGTTTGCACAAGGGATGAACAATTTCATAGGGGTAAGGGAGGCCACCATAGAATTCTTTAAATTGCACACATTTTGCAGCCGACGGGGATTTTTGTTCAGCTGTAGGCTTCAGACGTGTTCCAAGGGCATTCATTTTTTGGCTTGGCTTGATGACATTGGTAAGCAACCACAGTCACCAGCAGAAATCTGCTCGAGCGGCAGTTGTTAAATTCGGAACATCCCCCAGGCCGCCCAGCTTTCCGGGTTGCATTTTTTTTTTAATTCTACCCTCAGGGCCACATGAGTGACACTCAATCAATTTTTCACCTGGCTGAAATCATGGCCATTAAGAAGGACTCTATTTATTTAAATTTATAACCCGCCCTCCCCGCGAACGGGCTCAGGGCGGCGTACAGATGGGGCCAATGCCCAATACATAAAACATTAAAACTGCATTTAAAAAACATTCAATACAACTTAAGTGCTCTCCACAATATCTAACAAGAGAACAGATGACATCATCAGGATGGTATCCTTAGTGGCCACAGCTTCACGCAGTACCACCATTTTAGCGCCCACGGCGAGTTGGTAACAATGGGCTAGGACAGATAGTAATAGTCGTAGACAGATGGTAACAGTCGTGGCAGCTCCTACTCGAAAGCCTGGTGGAAGAGCTCCGTCTTACAGGCCCTGCGGAACTGTGCAAGGTCCCGCAGGGCCCGGACCTCCTCTGGGAGCTCATTCCACCAGATAGGAGCCGCCACCGAAAAAGCCCTAGCCCTAGTTGCCGCCTAGTCTGGCCTCCTTGGGACCTGGAACCACCAGGAGATGTTTAGTTCTGGACCGTAGAGCTCGTTGGGGAACATACAGCAGCCTAGTACGATTTTAACACCATACAATGGATCCTCCAATTAGACATCCCGCCTCAGTAGCAATGAACGATCCTGTCACTTTAGTATCTGCAAGAGCTAGACTTCGGGCAATTCTGCATCTGGCGTCTGCTCCACATTTTCTCAACACTGAGGAAAAGGTACCGCTCAAAACCACATTCGAACTCCCCGGGGCAACGCCGTACTGACTGCAAAGTCACCCCTGAACGACCATAAATCTATGCAGAGGGTACCACAAAATCCGATGATCAAACAGGATAGTAAGAGGGTTGGAATCCAAGTCTTATGAGGAAAGGCTGAAAGAGTTGGGTATGTTTAGCCTGGGAAAGAGAAGGCTTAGAGGGGACAGGATTGCAGTCTTCAAATACTTGAAGGGCTGCCATGTAGAAGATAGAGCAGATCTATTCTCTCTTGCTCCGGATTGCAAGACTACATCTAATGGGTGGAAATGACAAGGGAGTTGATACCGGCTAAATATCAGGAGAAACTTCCTGACTGTGAGAGTGGTTGAGCAGTAGAACAGACTGCCTCGGGAGGTGGTGGGTGCTCCTTCGCTGGACGTTTTCAAGTGGAGGCTGGACAACCATCTTTCGGGTATGCTGTAGGACTACCTTTCGGCTATGCCCCTGCAGAGTGCAGGGGGTTGGACTAGATGACCTGCAAGGTTCCCTTCCGACTCTAACTTTCTATGATTCTAAGAAAGCGAAAGCGGCATGCAGTGTAGAGGGTACCATAAAATCCGATGATCAAAGAAAGCGAGAGCGGCATGCCATGTAGAGGGGGACTTCTGTTCTGAGGTGGGTTTCAAAAAACAACAGAGGAAAAAGCCAGTGCAGAATCGCCCCAAATCCCAAAGGTATCTGATAAATGGAGCGGTGACTCTCAAAAGCCTATACTTCTCCCAAAATCTGATTGGTTTCTAAGGGGCTACTGGACTTGACCTGAGCTTTTCCAGAGCAGACCAACGTGGTTACCCTCCTCTTGTGAGTCACGGCTCACTTCTTCAGAAACAGCTAGACTGATGAGTCCATCTGTCTTTATACCTTGGAGAGCGGAGTGATTTCAGATGCCAAATGACAAGAGCAGGGGAATGACAGCAGCGAGTGAATAGCAAGGAACAACAAAAAAACAACTGTGAGCTGAACTACTCGCAAAAGTATACCCAAAAGGAGACTTCAACAAAGCGAACAAAGAACGACTACAGGAAGTCTCATTCCAAATGCCACGTGCGTTACAGGACAATACTATTCAGTTTCTTCATGGGCCAGATCTCCTAAGCTTTAATGTGCGCCTCTCAGGGTTGCTTCTATGTAAACAGGAGGCATGAAACCCTGCCTACTACCTAGGAAAAATGTTGGATATCTACTCTGGAGTTTGTTTTTTCCTTCTATGGATCCTGTGGACTTCTGTGTTTTCCCATGATGGATTATATGCATAGATTCATTACTGATTACATGTGTATTTCACTTTGTTGAAGTCTCCTTTTGGATATACTTTTGCGGGTAATTCAGCTCACAGTTGTCTCTTGTTGTCCCTTGCCATTTTTGACTGTGTGCTGTACTGTTTGTTGGTAACAGCAAGTGAATGACAAAAGAAGGCAGGATGGGATTAGGTGTGATAATGCAGAGGGGTCATAGGCATGAAGGAATAAGCACTGGTGATGAGACAGGAAACCCAAAGTACACGGCACAGAACACCTAAATAGAAAAATGGTCCCATTTGGAAAAAGAATCACAGGGAACAGGAGTATAACCCTTGCGGGGGTATGGAGACTGGGCAGATAAAAGTCGAACTGCAAATTCATAACGTGGAAATTGGAGCTTCTTTTTTATTTTTATATATTTTTAAGTTGCTAATTCTTTATTTACCATTATTATATACACAGAATAAGCACTGGTGATGAGACAGGAAACCCAAAGTACACGGCACAGAACACCTAAATAGAAAAATGGTCCCATTTGGGAAAAGAATCACAGGGAACAGGAGTATAACCCTTGCCGGGTATGGAGACCGGGCAGATAAAAATAGAACTGCAAGTTCATAACGTGGACACTGGAGCTTCTTTTTTATTTTTATATATTCTTAAGTTGCTAATTCTTTATTCACCATTATCATATACACGATAAAGAGCATCTTGATGACCACCGATGGCTTTAACAGCTCAAATCATCTACCTTTCACAGCAGTATTAACTTTTCCCTTCATCGTTTAAAAACCCCGGACACTTACCCGATAGCTTTTGCAATGTAGCCAAACGTATTCACGGTCGCTCTTCGGATCGCCTTCTTGTGTGCTTTTAGTAACTCGAGCAGTTCGAAGCAGATCCTCATCCACTCCCTGGCGGAGACATATTCTGCGCCCCTAAATAAAGAGAGGAAGTGCTTCGGCTTTAGCAAAGGTTCGGGTGGGCATCCGCATTAGTTTGAGGCGGCAGAACCCAGTTTGACTCCAGTGGCACTGTGCTGCCAGGAGGAAATGAGCGTTAATCAGCCAGTCAGGGATGCATTAGGATGCCTAACTAAAGACTACAATTCCCAGGGGCAAACTGCTCTTAAAGATATGTGGCAGTTCTACTTAGCTACAGTTAAATGCTGACTGGGGCAGCACAGGCACCTTTAAGGCCAACAAAATTTAATTCTGGGTATAAGAATTGAACTTTGTTGGTCTTAAAGGTGCCACTGGAGTAAAACCGCTTTACCAAAGTTAGGCTATATTGTTATAGAAACATCTAGACTTACAGCATCGTTTTAACAGGGGATACAGGATTGCATTTAAGGCCATAACGAGGACAAGCAAATACACCGTGGCTTCAACCCTTACCATGATTGGTAGCGTGAAGCATAACTTTTGCCCCCCCCCCCAGCTGACCCCCAAAATGCTGCTTCTGGGAGTTGGAGGGCTGCCACAGGGAGAGAATTGGTAACACCCACCCAATCTGGCCAAAGCACTATTTGACAGGATTGAGACCCATACATTTAAACTGGCACGTTTTAGTAACTATGCAGCTGGTTTTTTTCCCTTTTTATACATATCTGAGCAATGTACTGTTTGCGAGGAGCTAACAATGTGCGGTGTTGAGCCAAGAAACGCAAGTCCTCTTACCTGTCCGCTATGCGGCCGACCAAATCGATACAATTCTCCTGCACTTTCTCGTGTCTGTTCTTCAAGATAGGCGTGAGCCTCGGCAGCAAGTCTTTGATTGGAGGTGTCATCTTGTGCATTCCTGTCCAACCAGAGCAAGACCGTCAAGTCTCCAATTCTTCTCCCCCCCCCCAAGTCAGAATTCATTTGTTAAAGATGTGACATACACTTAGCAAAATGTATACCACCAAAGATCACCAAGGCAGCTAGCAAATTAAAGCATACATAATAAAACCATATTTTAAAAACCATTAACCCCCCTGCCCCGATATTGTAATGACCCTGTATAAATCTATGGGGGAGCCTCATTTGGAATACCATGTACAGTTCTAGTCACCGTATCTCCAAAAGGACACTGCAGAGCTAGAAGAAGTACAGCGGAGGGTGACTGAGATGACGAGGGGGGTTGGAGTAGCTTCCATATGAAAGGCTGAAGAGTCTGGGACTTTTCAGTTTAGAAAAGAGACGACTAAGGGGGGGGGGGATGATAGACATTTATAAAATGATGCATGGGGTGGAGAGAGTGGACGAGGATAAATTTTTCTCCCTCTCCCAAAAGACTAGGACTCGAGGGCACCCGATGAAGCTGATGGGCAGTAGGTTCAGGACGGACAAAAGGAGATACCACTTTACACAAAGAGAGTGAATGCTTAGGGGACAACATGGCGGGGGGAGTGTGTTTGTGCACTATTGTTGCTGTATAGCTATATGACTGAGAACACCATCTTGATTGTAAAATTTGGAATCGAGTAGGGGAGCACCGAACTGTTTTATGAATTTAGTTAATTATTTAACTGTCTTTGTATTTCTGTGTATTTTATACTGGTTTTATTGTTATTATTTGGCGTATGCCCTTGTTAGCCACCCTGAGCCTCCAGGGAGGGCGGGATATAAGTTTAAATAAATAAATAAAATGTAGAATTCGCTGCCAGAGGACGTAGTGAGGGCCACAGGAATAAACAGCTTTAAAAGGGGATTAGACAGATTCATGGAAAATAAGTCTATCAATGGCTACTAGCCATGGTGGCCAAGGGGAACCTCCATGTCCAGAGGCACGAGTCCTCTGAATCCCAGAGCCAGGAGGCAACGTCAGGGGAAGGCCTCTCTGCCCTCTTGTTGGCCTTCTGGAGGAACTGGTTGGCCACTGAGTGAGACAGGATGCTGGACTAGATGGACCCCTGGTCTGATCCAGCAGGGCTCTTCTGATGTTCTTCTCAGGGGAAGGCCATGGCCTCTATGCCCTGTTGTTGACCATCCAGAGGAACCGGTTGGCCACTGTGTGAGACAGGATGCTGGATGAGATGGACCCCTGGTCTGATCCAGCAGGGCTCTTCTTGTGTTCTTATCAGGGGAAGGCCTCGGCCTCTCTGCCCTGTTGTTGGCCCTCCAGAGGAACTGGTTGGTCACTGTGTGAGACAGGATGCTGGATGAGATGGACCACTGGTCTGATCCATCAGGGCTCTTCTGGTGTTCTTCTCAGGGGAAGGTCTTGGCCTCTCTGCCCTGTTGTTGAACCTTCCAGAGGAACTGGTTGGCCCCTGTGTGAGACGGGAGGCTGGACTAGGTGGACCCTCACTGGTCTGATCCAGCTGGGCTCTTCTGATGTTATGTTCCCCAAACCCCAACACATATTAAAACCAAAGCTAAAATACATATAAACACATAAAAATTAAAATATTGGGCAGGAAGGTGGGATTCATTGAGGAAACGCCAAGTGAAACCAGTAAGTCTTCTCCCACTCGTGAAAGGGGACAGATGGCTCTCCCCCCTGGGAGAGAGTTGCAGAGTTTCGGTGCCACTCACCAATGACGTTCACAATGGCTTTAAGTGCTCCAAGGATACTGCCCAATACTTCCGGATACTCTTCGCCCAGGTATTCATACAACACCACACCCAAGTGCCCCATCAATTTTTCCTAGGGGAAAGGGGGAAAAAATTAGCTCATAACCAATGCTCCCTGTAAACTGTGGTGTCTTGTGAGCAAAAATTCTACTTTGTGAGCTACTGGCATTAAAGTTGTGCGCGAGCAATTTGGCTACTGCATAAATTAGTTTGCTCAGGAGCCATCCTTCCTGAGCTGAGATGAAAACGTGTGAGCTGGAGGCTAAAAAAACTGTGAGCTAGCTCACACTAACTCATCTTAGAGGGAACACTGCTCATAACGCCATTTTGCCTCTAAATGAAACAAACAGCATTCCTCCAGCACAAAGAATCCCGTGCACACGGAAGAGCCCCTTGCTAGTTAAAGGAACCAATGGCCATTAAAGAGTCGTAGGATTTAACCCCAAGTTTAAGGAAGGACATAAAGAGACGTACTTCTTGACACGTCTTCATGACCACTGCAGTGCGAGAGATCAGATCAGCAGCCTGCTGTCTCACTTTGGCCGATTTGTTGTTTAGACGCCACAAAACCGTACCGCAGATCTGGGGCAGGTACGGCTTGACTCGCTTGCCGAGAGCATTCACCACTGTGCCGAAGCCGTTCAACATCACAGAGTCCTGTTCACCAAAAAAAAGGAAAGGTTTAGAACACAATGCTTTTCACATTGCTCTGTCACCAACATTTTACGTTTTCTTTCACTTCTGATGACAGGGGAGGCAAGGGCCTCGGGAATTATCAGCGCTTCACTCCTCCGTGACGCATCCATCAACAGGCGGGGAGTAAAACATGTCTACACGGGGTTTTCCAAACCTAAAAGGAAACCAGTGTGATAGACCAAGAAGGGCAGCCGTGTTAGTCTGTCTGAAGCAGCGGAAAAGAGGAAGTGTCCAGCAGCACCTTCAAGAGTAACAGCATTTGTGACAGGGGAGGAGCTTTCGTGAGTCACGGCTCACGTCTTCAGACACTCACAAAAGCTCACACCCTGGCCACAAATGTTGTTAGTCCTTACGGTGCTTCTTGACTCTTGCTCTTTCCTAAAACCAGTCTGGTGTGGCGGGTCAGTGTGTCAGACTAGGATCTGGGAGACAAGGGTTCGAATTCCCACTCTGTCATGGAAGCCAGCTGGGTAACCACTCTCAGCCAGGCCTACCACACAGAGCTGTTGTGAGGATAAAATGAAGGAGGTGAACAGTGTAAGCCTCTCTGGGTCCTCACTGGAGAGAAAGGGAGGCGATAGATAAAGGAAATAGATCAGTGAAATCATTTCTCCTCGACAGATGCTTAACATGGAACAGATACTGAAGCAGGAATAGTTCTGGGTGCTGTGAAGCAGAAACAGATCAGCTGCTTACAAAAGCAAGGGGAAAGCAGACTCAAGACCTAGCCGGTGTCAGGAGGCTGCGGCAGGAAGGGGCACACAGAGAGGGAGGCTGGGCACTTCCCCCCTCTGCTCAGGCGCACAGGTAGCCCTGGTCACGTGCTACGCTTGGGAGGGAACACGGCCTCTCACATCCGGATGACGCTCTCCGCAGCAGCTTCCTGGGACATGTGAGGACTCAGTGGTACGAAGCCTGCTTTATACACAGTGGTCTCAGATTCGATCACTGGTCTCCCCAGTTAAAGGGTTTTGGAGAGCAAGGCCTTCCTTGTGATTAACACCTGGAATTCACCACCACAGGAGGTGGACAGCTTCAAGAGGGAACTGGATAAACATCTGGAGCAGAGGTCCAGCAGTGGCTATTAGCCACAAGGGAGAGGTGGGAACTCTTGGTCTGGGGCAAGTGATGCTCTGTATTCTTGGTGCTTGGCTGGGGGGGGGGGGGGGGGCGGGGGGAGGG